GAATACTGAGTTATAGTCTATAAAGATGGCCCTTCTAGCCACATTTCCTTATGTAGTACATTATAATTCTGGACTTCATACACCTATGGCTATAGTTACATTTTGCAGGGTACAATTAACACCAGATCTTAGTTGTTGTTAGTTGCCATAGAGTGGGTCCTGACTCATGGCAACCTTATGCAGACAGAACTAAATACTGCCTGGTTCTTCACCATCCACGCAATTGTTTCTAGGCCTGAGCCTGTTATTGCAGCTGAGTTGTCCAACCATTTCCTAGAGGGCCTTACTGCTGCCCCTTTACTTTAATAGAAGTCTGAATCAGACCACCTCCTTTGTTTCCTGGAGGGCATCTGTAGGACCCCTCCTTAGAAGAGGGTGTGCACCAACCCACACCCTTTTCTTTCGTGAGGGCATATTTTTTTGTTCTACTTTAGTAGAGGGTGTGACTTAAGGCATCATCCTTTGTTTTTTTCAATATATAATGGTACTGCCATGTAGTTCAAGCACACATCACTTCACCTGGGAAGCTAGAACTCTATTTCCTGGTAGAGCGTGGCTTCAAGCAAGAAAACCTGCTGTGTTTTTTGGACATTTCTGGTTTCTGTCTCTAGACCTTGCATTTGGCTCACTGCTGCCTGACCTTCAGATTTGGGACCAAACCGCATCCACTATCACTCAAGCCATTTGCTCAAGGCTTCTGAGGGAACATTGCAGCAAATCACAGAACCCAGGGATGTGAGGGGAAATACTCAAGGAAGGAGGTGCGATGCGAGGGTGGGAGGTGGAGTGGGGGGTGGAGGGAATGGAGCAGAATAGTATCATGGAAGAGCTGGACTTTTAAGACATCAATAATTTCCAACTTCTTGGAACTAGGCTGGTATTAATTCTTCTAAAAGAAATCATTGCCACATGTATTGTTTTTAGATACCACAAAGTCAGTTTGAAGCCATAGCAACCTTATGCACCCAAGAACCAAACACTGCCCAGTCCTATGCCATTTTCACAATTGTTCCCCTGAGCCCATTGTCATAGCCCTGGTGTCAATCCATCTCTTTGACGGCCTTCCTCATTTTTTATGCCCTCTACTTCCAAACATGATATCCTTCTCCAGGGACCAGTCTCTCCACATATACTATGTAAAAAATATCAAATCACTATCTTCAGCCCTGTCGTTAAAATATAATGTAATAGTCAGGTAAGTAATTTTCATTAATTATGAAGCTACTTAAAAATATTTTTCCACTTCATGTTTTTGTCAACTGATAACTACCTTAAGTACCATTATAAAATTGTATGAATTGTATGGTTACACTGCATCATATATTTTATCTATAGCTCTTTTCTCTTTCCATCCTCATTAATTAATTTTTAGTGCACCTGCCATTGTAAAGTATTTTATAATCTCCCAAAGAATTTATTTATAACTTATTTTTGCTTTTCTAAATCTTTGTTATAGGACAATAAATATTTTGGATTAGATCAATATCGGTAAACTGAACAAAAAATACTTTATTGCCTAAGTAGTAGAGGAACGTTTGCTCATACCTTACTATAAAGTACTAATAATAAGTCAGCCCACTCATATGCAAACATTAATGTTGGATTAGGCACAGGTCGGGGACATTAGGAACAGCCTGCCCTGCCCTTATTGGACCAAGGCAGCTAGCTTCAATGGGCTCCAGGACAATGAGCCATCTTCTCGGTATCCGGCGGAACAATCACAATGCCACCCTTCTCAGAATTTCACGGAAGGAGAGGGCTTAAGCCTCTGCAGCAGCAGCTCCTGCCCCCACCCTTCTCGTTGCCCCTCCTGACCAGCTTAAAAACGTGCTCTTCATCACAGATAGGCGCGACTTCACTAGCCCCATTCTCGGGCCTGTGAATCTCACCCATGAGCACAGAACAAACCTCTCATTCTCTCTGGCGTGGCCTCAGTTTATCTTTGCGGCGAGCCTAATCATATTTCAAATCATCAAACACAAGCATCATTAGAGGCTCTAGTGAGCTTTGTGCTATTCAAGCACCCGAGAATTTTATAAATATTTCATGCTTTTTAAAAGTCACATTTATTATCCACAACCCTTATATGCATCCAAAAGTTTTCCCAGGCTTTTTTATTCACATACTTTTCAGTGAATATGAATTCACTTGTAGCATTAACCAACAAGTCAATAAATTCAATATAGTTCTAAATAACCAAAGAAAACCAAACTGACTGCCATCCAGTCAATTCTGACTCACAGGGGCCCTGCAGCTGGGGTGGTGAGGAGGGTTATGCGCTGGGATGCTGTGTCCTTGGTTACCCACTCTAGAGACAACCAGTCGCCCCAAAGGGAAGAGATGAGGCTTTCTAATCCTGTGGGGCTCCAGCCTCAGAAACCCACAGGGGCAGTTAGTTCTACTCTGTCCTAGAGGGACACGATGAGTTCTAAATAAAGAGTACAAAAGATCGACCGTTACGAGGGAAATAGCAGCAAAAATTCCCTCATTTTCTATATTTTTGTTTTGGAGATGCATTTGGAGTCCCAAAACAAACTGATATAGATGAATTGCATCAGAATCTATCTAAAACCATAAAAGTGTGTGTATATCATTCATAAACATTCATAAATGGCTCACATAAAAAGAAAATTGGTTCATCTAAAACATTTTAGGTATTACATTATCATGACAATCTTAAAAAATGTAGTTCAAAATTTTATTTGCAACATGGCCAGTCAATATTTCTTACAAATTGCACCTTGCACAACACTCTTGTTTAAAGAAAGAGGGCTTTCCTCATAACTGTGAGAAGAAAACCAGATACAGTAGTGAACGCTCGCCACTTCGCGCTTCGACTTCCGCAGCTTCACTCTATCGCGGTTTTTGCATAACAGCGCATGCTCTGTCATTACTGCCACTGATTGGCTCATACTGTACACGCTTCTGTCTGCATCGCTACGTATCGTAGCTACATATCAGATGCATTTTTGCTTTTGTACAGTGTACTGTAATTGTTTGCGATTTTTAAGAAATTTTATCTAAGCCCTATGATGGCTCCAAAATGAGCTGCTTCTTCTACGCCTTCTGACAATAAAAATAAGCGTCAGAGGAAGATGCTCACCATCCAGGAAAAGGTAAAACTTTTGGATATGATCAAAGATGGCAAGAAAATCGTGGAGGTTGCACGCCATTTCTACTTGAATGAGTCTTCCGTTCGCTCCATCCGTTGTACTTCATAATATAATAAATAATAAATGATAATTGTTAGGTCCAAAATGTTTTACTGCATTTTCCCTTTTTCGTTTAATAAATTGGGTAATACGAGTGTAATGGTGACTAAAGGGTGTTTTTTCATGTCCTCTATGCTCTAACTACGAAAATATTTGATTTACAAATAAGGAATCCTACTTCGCAGAATTTCATTTATCACGGTAGGGTCTAGAACCGATTAACCGCGATAAACGAGGGTTCACTGTATTTCTTTAAAAAAATAAATATATAAAAAGGCTTATGCATTAGATGCTGGGAAATTATATTTACTGGTAACAAGGGCTAAACTAAGATCTAATGAGGTCTTAGCTTTGCTAACCAGCAAATAACATGTTAGGTAGCTTAGCTTAGGGACTGTGGCATCCATTATGCATGCTCAGAAGATTGAGCTACAGGCCCAGGAAGGAGTGGTACAGTGCGCATGTTCAGAGGTTCAGGTTTCAGGCCAGGAAGGGGAGGTACACCTGAGTGGGCGCTACACCTGGATTGGCCCAGCTAGGCCAGGTAAATTCTATTCAGCCAATGGGATCGACCAGGGGCCACCATGCCGCTCCTCAGAATAATTGAAAAAGGAAGGAGCCCTGAGCAAACTCTCTGAGCAGCTTCTAGGGTGGCTGCACGGGGTGAGGGGCCCTGCGGGTGCCTGTGTAAACCCGAAACTTCTTCTAACCCTCATAAAACTCGGATCACAAACCAGGCTTCAGCGTGAATTTTTTTCACGCATGGAGCCAACGACCGAGGTATATCTCTACCCTGAGAGATCTAACATAATAACACTTTAAACAATCATTAAAGGCATTGACATTTTTAAATATATTAATGCCTCTTTTAAATAAATAAGATTTCACATGATTTAACTAGTAATAATTAGTAGGAGTCAATATGAAAAAATGATTGTCAGACTATTTTCAATTATTACTTTCTGTCTAAGCCACCTAAATGCTGATTTCAAAATACCAGCGCTTTCAGTGGCAGCTGCTGCTGTGTCTTTCTCTGTGAAAAACAAGATGTTCATCAACAATCCGTGTTACTTCAGAACATCCTTGAGGCTGTACACATCAGAGGAGTCCATTTATTGTACATTTCATATGCCTTTCCCTGAGATACGGAATAAATAATGTCTCTTTGAGTTAATAAGAATGTAATTAAATTAACTTTACTTAAAGTAGTCAGCCTAACACCTGCCAGTTTTCCTTGACCCTCACCTCAGTCTCTTCAGGACTTTCATAACACATTGCTTGGCTCAAAGGCAAACCAATATTTCCTGAAGTAGCCTTCAGCTATCTCGGAGAATCATCCCCCAAAGCTAAGTCCTGCTCTCTGATGAGTCAACAGAAACACTCAAAAGTGCCTTATAGTTCTGTCTGCTTACTCATGATCAACAGTCCTTTCCTGTAATTATTCTGAAAACTGAATGACAGTAAACACCTGTAATTGACTCTCCCAGAGTGTGACTTCCAAGGGGAAAACAATGTCATCTCTGCGTATCCAGATTTCAAACAGTATTTACTGTCAGATTCTCCACTGGTGCCACCTTCTAATACATTTCAGCGCTTCTAATTTGGAGTTAGTGAATTGCCCCTGCAGCTTCAGGTCACACACATTCCTTCTGAGAGGTAATAAGAATGATTCTTAACAATTCATTTTGCCAGTAGTAACACCCAGAATTACTTATTTGCAAATTACTCTATTTATCTCACACGAAATCATCATTTAAATGTCTGAACAATTAAATGTTTATTTCTTACCGTGGCAAGAACCCTCAATTTCTTCATATCCAGTACTGCATATGCACCGTCCGAGAGGAACCAGCCAGTCGCCGTCAGCTCCACAATACAGTTTCGGCGTGTCACGCTCCTCTGCACTTTTCACACAAGAGCCCTTGACTTCAACCAAAGAGGAAGAATCAACTCGTGGGATGGTATCAGGGAACATGGCCAAGTTACGCACAGTGAAGGGGCACTTTTTGTAGAAAACACGGACGGACACCAGTGCAATGCAGGCCCCGATGTCCTGAAAAGCCAGATAGAATCCTTTCCTCTCTATCGGTCCCACCTCTCGAATTTCAGTGTTGAGTTTGAGGATTCGATCACCCAGATCCATCTGGGTAAAACTCTCATCTGCAGCAATGGTGTCGATCTTTGAATACTGGCTTGGCTTGAATTTCATTCCATGAGACTCATCTGATTCCATATAGTAGAGATTAAAAGTTTCTTTGCAAGTCCCCAAAACCCACGGGATGCTGTTACAGTCCCTCAGGGTGAACTTCATTTCCACGTAAATTTTCTGAGCGGCATCGCGGGATATCCAGTTGGTACGAAGCCAGTTGTTCTGGTTCGGTTCCATCACATTGCATACCTGGTATGTGTGAATCGGCCTATTGTGCTCATCCATTTCAGTAATGGCATCCCACTGCAAAAGGGGGGGACAAAGTGGTAGAACCACAGTTTGTAAACAGAAATACTTAATCCTGAAAGGTTCTGTTTCAGCAAAAGGAAAATAAATACAAAAGGAAAGAGATGTTCTAAGTGAAGCTGCTCAAAACATTAGTGAAAATTGGGCATTTAACAACTAACTTTTAGTTGGGAATGTGGGTTCTGCAGTCAGCTTCCCTGCATGGATCTTGCCTTCTTGAGTACTGGCCACATGGCCACATGGCCAAGGGCACCTTTGTGTTATCTCTGGTTTCCGCAACACTGAACCCTGGGGGGTTATGACTGGACTGCTAACCATCAGCACTTTGACCACAGTAAGATGAGCTATCGCCTGCTGTCAATGTTGACAGACTCGGAATTTCTAGGAATCAGTTTGACCGTTTCCCATAGAGTCACTATGAATCAAAATTCACTAGTGGATGTTGGATTTGGGCTTTGTGTTTTTCTCAACTCTAAAATAAATAAGGTAAAAATAGTGGTCTCAGGGTTGTTATGAGACATTAATGAGTTAATATATGTAAAATACTTATGCCTGGCATACTACACGAAGGTCTTATTGCATCCATAATCTGATAAAAATAAATATATTCATAGCAAATATGCTCTATATTTAACTGCCTTCATATCCAACATGGCACAAACTGAGGCAATTCTACTGTTATTAAATATTTACATGATGATTTTGCAACAGATTTGATAGAAAAGGCCTTAGACTTATTCAAGGAATATGTATCAGACATTATTCTGCTTTAACATTTCATTATTTATTGAAAGATTGATGGTTCAATTCACCCAAAGACCTTTTGGAAGAAAAGGCTAGTAATCTACTCCTGAAAGATCTACCAGGGAATATTGAAGAAACACAGGCCTACTATGAAACATGAGATTTCTATGACTCAGAATGTATACTCAGGCAACTTGTTTCCCTGTCATCATGTAGTTTATTGGTGTCCCAAATATATTTTGTCTGGTTAACAAAAGAACAAATAAATTTGTTTTTTCATTTAAAAACAAATTTATCTTGGAAAAATTACAAACATAATGCTCCATAGAAGCAAGGAAGGTGAAAATTTGTCTCACGTATTTTGAACATGTTGGCAGGAGACACTAGTCCTTGGGAATGGATGTGGTAGTTACGTAATCTGGTGTCAATTTGGGACTTGAGAGGATTAAGAGTGAAGAGGCATAGTCTAGTAATCAGGATTACTATGAGGCCTCTGTGTGGGCCTGGACTTCCCTGAGGATTCTGGGAATTCCAGTTTTCCTCCTTTGGGGCCGGAGACCAGCTGTGGGATCAGTCCCTGAGAGATGCTCTACTGACAGGACACATGGCACTACACTGACAGACTCCCTGCCCTGAGAACTAAAGGATCCATGTGGAGCCCCTGACAGTGCTGAGATGCTTACATAGCCACTGGATCCACAAGACTTCCCACCCACTGGCCTGTGATCTTCCTGCATTCGGCATCATCACATGTGTTCTGTGAGTCTGAAGAGGACTTTGTAGATTGGTATCAGACATATGGGTTAATATTTGACCAATGGACTTAATCTGGACTGGGCTGGGATGTTTTCTCAATATTGTATTGTATATAAAGTTCTTTCCTGTACACATAAGTGTGTCTATGAATTTGTTTTTCTAGTCTATCCAGACTAACACAATGGGCATCATGCTTGATACAGTTGCTGCAATGGTCTCAAACATAAGAACAATTGTGAGGAGGGTGCAGGACAGGGTACTGTTCTTTCTGTGAGCCATTACCAATTCAAGGCCACTTAACAATGACCACTGCTGTCTCATGAAACAAGAAAATGAGAGTCAAAAATATGTCAACTGAATAACATGGCAGAAAGTGCAATGGGGAAAATAAGGAGGAGAAAAAAGGTTATAATTTTAAATAGTGTGGCCAAAAAGGGCATTATAAACGTAGTGACAGTTAAGAAATGTTTTGAATTTTTGATAAAACAGCAATAAATTTTGTGTATATCTGAGGGAGAGGGCAACAGCATGTTCAAACACTCAACAGACAGAAGTATTAGGTTCTATTTTCAGAAATACACAAGTATTCAGGGGAAACACACTAAGTAATAGGACAGGAAGAAGAGGGGGACTAAATTATAGTGTTATAATAATTTTAACAGGTCATAAGCATTTTAAGTAGGCTAGCTTTTAATTTAAGTTTGATCATTTAATTACCTTCACTCCCATGTGTTTGCACATAAACATTCTGCTACTTAATTTCATAGGCATACCTTATTTATACTATTTCAATATATACTAAAAACCCTTTTCAAAATTTAGAAATTAATTGGTATAGTCAGTTTTTATATGACTAACACATTAGATTTTAAATTACATATTCAGATTGTAATTTCATTTTATTTGTATAGTAATAATCCAGCATTTTCAGTATATTTTCTAAATCTGGTAATTTTAAAGCATTTTAGAGAAAATGTGATATTAGAGTTTCTAATTTCCATTAGGCTACACTAGAAATTAATAATTATTTGTTATACTGAAGAAGTTTCCTGAAACCAAATCATGTGGCTAGCAGTTGGGCTGCGATTCACATGATCAGCAGTTCTAAACCACCAACAGCCCCACCATAGAATGATTGGGCTTTCTATTCCTGTAAACTATTACAGTCTTGGGAACCCCACAGGGGGGTCACTATGAGTCAGCACTGACTCGATGGCAATGAGTGTTATAAGATTATTTAAAGCATTCTAATTGTAGCTTCTCATTTTAATTAGGTGTCTAAATGTCTTCAATCTTAGCATGTCAGAGGATTTAGGATTTTATTACACTTAAATGTAAAGGAAACCAGTGCTAACATAGCTCATGTAAACTGTAAACTTCTAAAATGTTCCTGTAAACCAGGATCAAATAAAAATATCTTACAATGCCCACAATCAATGTCCAAAATTCAGAATGTGTTATCTATGAAAAGCCTATAAGGTACCCATGAAATAATTAGTTTTATTTTGCCTATATTTCTATCCCAAACTTAGTGTATTTCTCAGGGAATTTGTATACTTATCACTCTTTACATCCATCTTCTATTTCCCATTTAGTTGCAATAGAACCCCAATTTCATGTAAACCCAGAACTTATTGCAATGTAAGATTTTTTTGCAGATGTCACCAAGTTAAGATGAAGTCATTTTGATAAGGGCTGACCTTCAAACAATGAATTGTTTTCTCATAACAAATGGGATATAAGGCTCCTGGACACAGGCACACCACAAGGATAAGATCATATAACAACAGAGCAGGGATTGAAGTGGTTCATCTAGAAGACAAAGAATGCTGGCAACCACCTGATTTTCTAAAGGGGTACAGATGTATTCTTCTCTAGACTTGCGCCTTGAATCCAATCTTCTAGCCTCTATAACTATTAGAGAATAAATCACAAATCGCAGTTTTAAGCCACCGGATGTATGATGATTTACTACAGTAAATTTACAACACTAAAATAAAGAGTAGAGAGCTACATTGTCGATGAATTCAGTTTGAACAATTACATTTCAGTAATTTTAGACCATATCTTACTAGATAAATAAAATTATAATCCATGTTCATAATATTATCAAGCCTTGTAAAATGGGATGAATTTAATGATAATTAGTAATGTTGAATTGTGTTTAGGGTCTTTAGAAAAATGGAATTTCTGAAAATACTGCATAATTTTCTATATGTTGGATTTGAAAGTAAAGGTGGGGAAAGTTGAGGGGAAAAAGTGGTAAGAATAGAAGAAAATAACAAGTACTTGCTAAATTAAAGCTGATCAGTGCCAACCACTCAGCATATACTAAAATACACTCAGATAATAAGGGATGTGATTCTTCTCAAAGATAGTGCATAAGGACAATTACAAAACATTGCATCACTTCCATCCTAAATTTGTGATACTATTACAGGACACACTGTTGTTTTTCTTTTCTAACTTAAGGGAAAAAAGAAATCAGGACTAGATTTAAATTCCAAATAGTCCAGCTGGTTGTGAAATATTATTTTATTCAATAACATCTTTAAGATTCATTTATAAAATTTGAATCTGATTCACTAAAAGAAGGATAGATAGTCAGCTCTCCCAGGATGTGGGACGCATACCCTCAGACTGAACTAATCACAAATCAGAAATATTATGAGAGGGAGAATAAATAAATAAATAAATAAATATATATATATAATCAAAGCAATCACTCAGAGGCTAAGAGGGAGCCTCACGTGATACATGGGAATTATATTATATTAAGTATTAAAAGATGACAATACAAAAAGGGCTAAATCATGGAGACAACTGAATCTGCCATTAATTCTGTTATTAGGATGGTCAATTCTGTCACATTGATTGGTTATATACGTAAGTCCTAACTAGAAACAATCTAAATCCTCAAACTCAATATTATATATATGTGTGTGTGTATATATATATATATGTGTGTGTGTGTGTGTGTGTATAATTATTTCCCAAAGATATATACTTTTTCATATTTAGGACATATACATGTTAATTTTATAAATGTTTTTAAAGGCAAAGGATTTTCAAACCAACTTATTTATATATTTTTCCTTTTCTCTCTGCATTTCTTGTTTCTATTCCTCTTCCTTTCCTAACTATTCTGACTTTGTTCTTGGGTAAATCAAAAGGCCCTTTTGATTCAAATGGTTAAATATTCTAAGGTGTGAATATTGTGTTGTTGCTTCCACTATACATGGGTCTGTTGTTTGTGTGACAATAGAGCCACGGAAGTGAGCTGATTTCGAGACCTGAAGCGTGGTGTTTAAGGGGGATAGTCTGAGAGTGTTCCCCAGTCTCCATCTGAAAAATGAGTCCTGTCTTTTATAAGATTTGGAGTTTTGCTCTTTGTCCAAGTCTGTCTAGGACTTTTTGAGTGTTGTTCTCTCACCCACTCTGACCAGGACCTTCTAATGTGCTCCCTTTCAGAGACATTGGCAATGGTGGCTAGAGCT